GGCAATTCTAAGTGGCATAAGGAAAATAAAGCAGGCATGACTAGCAGAGGGGAAGAGAGTGGTCAAAGAAGGCTTCAGGGAGAGGTGGCTTTCTGTTTTCTCCTTTGTGGTGCTGGGGATTGAACCCAGGGCCTTGGGCATGCAAGGCAGGCACTCTACCAACTGAGCTGTGTCCCCAGCCCCGGGGGTGGCTTTTTGGGTTGTAACCTGAGCTAWGAGCAGGAGGCCTTTCAAGGATCTGGGCAGAGATCTTTGGGCCCAGGGAACCGYAGGAGCAAAGCCCTGAGGGCCACGAAGTGAAGCATCAGGCAGGTAGGGGCCAGTTTGGAGCAGGCCCTGAGAAAGAATGTGCATTTCCTACCTGGTGTATTTTCAGTAGCCGAGGACACAATCTCGCTGGTTCTCAGGTAGCTACAGGAACCAGATGGAAGACACAAGGTAAGATGCGGCCGCTCAGGAAATAGCTGGGAGTGGAGCTGACAGGCCCTGCTCATAGTCGTTTAGTTTAGCTTTTTTTTGTACTAGGGATTGAACCCAGGGGTCCTCACCACTGAGCTGTACCCAGCACTTTTTCTGTCGGGGGGATACCGGGGATTAAACTCAGAGGCACTCAACCACTGAGCCACGTCCCCAGCCCTATTTTGTGTTTAATTTAGAGACAGGGTCTCACTGAGTTTCTTAGGGCCTTGCTGTTGCTGAGGCTGGCTTTGAACCCGCCATCCTCCTGTCTCAGCCTCCTGAGCCACTGGGATTACAGGCATGGGCCACTGTATCCGGCCCCAGACCTTTTTTAAACTTTGACACAGGGTCTCACTAATTGCCCAAAATGGCCCTCAATTCACATCCTCCTGCCTTGGCTTCCAAGGAGTCACTGGGATCACAGGTGTGCCCCACTGCGCCCGACTACACTGCTCACCTTGGAAGATGGGGGCGGCAAGGGGAGCCTTTCCCCACTGAGCCAAGATTGCTGTAACCCCAGAGTCTTTCTCAACACAGGGCCCAGGGTGTGGCGTGTAGGGGATGTTCCCCATCCAGCCCAGCCTCTGCTTTACAGAGGGGGACACTTTGCCCAGAATTCACAGAGGACCTGTGAATTCCCCAAGGTTCCACTGATGTCCAATGACTGGCCTGGGACTCAAACCTGGGCCTCTGTGACCCCGCCCTCCTGGAGCTGGAGGAGGTGGGAGGAACCATTGCCCAAGGATGATRCGACCAGGCATGGCCATGTGGTGAGGTCACCTAGGAGAAGCATCTAAAGGAGAGGCTTGTGAGGGCACTTCCCCTGCAGGATTCTGGGGTGGCGGACCTCATAGAAGGTCTGGGCACCGAGAGCCAAGGTCTCACTGGTGAGAAGTAAATGCTCCAAGGCAGTGTCTTCAGCCAGCAGGCCTGAGCGGGGGCCTCCTGGAGCCCAGGGGCCGCTGATCCTCAGAGGTCTTGGGAGAGACATGAGCAGAACCTGAGAGGCCCGGAGAACCCCCCTGCAGCCCCACCCCCAAAGCCAAGACCAAGWTGGAGAAGGGGAAGGGGGGCCGCAGCCTGCGGCGCTGAGTCCGGGTCAGGTGGGCGCCCGGTCAGGTGGGCTGGTTCTGCCGCTGCTCGAGGAAGTGCAGCAGCCCCTGCCCCCTCACGGACTCCTGGGGCCAGGCTGCTTTTGTGCATTATTACCTGTATGATCCCAATTTTAAAATGAGGTTCGGAGGGTTTAAGGAATTTAGCTGGTGTCACATGGTTAAAAAGTGGCAGCATCAGCTGGCTCGCTGGACCACCCCTCTCCTAGAGGGTCCGGGCAGGAGCCTGATGGAAGGCACCAGGGACATCCTCCGCTACCCTGGGTGAAGTGGCTCTGGCAGGCCGCGGCCTCCTCCCAGGGTGGATATCAGCACTGCATGAGTCAACGGCAGGTGATGACAATGATGACGTCGATGACATCGGCTCTCAGAGGGGTAGCCCAGCCGGGGGCTGGCTCTTCACGTGTGGTCAGAGGGAGGGAGGCTGCCTCTTCACAGTCCATTCATTTGCTGTTTGTTAAATGCCTCCTAGGTGCCAGACACTATTCCAGATATTGGCGACACAGTGGTGCCCAAAATAGCATTAAGTCCCTGCCTTCATGCGACTTAGTTTTCTGAGTGGGGGATGCAGACAGAAAATAAGAAAAGATAAAAAAAAAAGTACCATATAGAGTATGCCAGATAGTAATGAGTTCCCCGGGGAAACGTGGGGCACACCAGGAGAGCTGGGCGGCCAGAGAGCGGGCCTCCCTGTGAAGGTGACTGAGTCAGGCCCCGCCAGCCCCTGGAAGGGCCAGGGCTAAGGCCCTTTGGCTGGGGCCTGCCCGGCTACTTCTATGAGGCAGCATGGCAGGAGCAAGGAGCCTTTTAGAAGCTGAGTGAGGAGAGCTGGGAGACTTGAGGACCAATTTTGGAGGGCCGTTTTCAGGAGCATCCTTCACATTTTTAGTAAGACTCAGGCTCCTCTGCAAGGTCCTAAAACCTTTCTCCCTGTCCCAGGGTTTCGTCTGTTAACTCATCTGCCTGTGCTGTCCTTGAGGCCTCCAGCCCAGTGCTCTGCAGTGCCCTGGGTTCTGAGGGGTCTGAAATTAGGAATCGGGTACAAACATCAGCTAGGAAGGGCTGCTCAGAGGGAGAACTGCAGTCTGTGCAGAGCCCTGGGAAGCCAGCACAGCCCTGGTGGCCTGGGATTCCACAGTTTCCATTCATCCCCTGGGTGGTGGGGAGGGTGGCTTGGGAGCTTGAGCGGCCCTGCCCTGGGGCTTTAAAATTGGGAGTCGCTGAGGGCTGTCTTGGAGAGGAAGTTTGGCTGGAAGGAGGTAAGGCTCCTTAGCTGATTTGCATCCCGTCTGTTTCCCCTTAGAGCTTAGCTGCAGAGCTCTGTAGAAGGAYTCACGCTTGGACTCATGGGGGAGTAGGAAGAAATGGGACTTGGACCCAAAATGCAGCTCGTTGGGCACAGGGTGTGGCGATCCTCCCTCCTTCCAAAGGAGAGAGTGGGTGGGGCCCAAGGGAGAGAGACTGGGAGGGCCCAGGAGCTCTGGGCTTCTTATAGGCCCCTGGGGACCAGAGGCTCTTCAGACCTGTTGGCCTGGGAATTGATCCATCTCCCTCAGGGCTGGTGGGAGTGGTGGGTGGGTGGGAGGCAGGCCCACAAGTCCTGGAATGGGGAAGGGAAGCTGGGACTGTGGGTTGCTGACTTTCTCTGAAGGCAGTCTGGGTGAGGACTGGAGGAGAGGTTTTTAGCAAGTTCCAGGTTTGAGTCTCCAGGGAGGTTGATCTATGCTAGAGAGCCTCAGATGCCCCTTCTGTAAAAGGGGGGGGGGCACAATTCAATTTATTGTCCTTGCAGAGGATTCAGTGAAATTGCTACCAGGGTGCTGAGTTGGTGCTGTAGACCAGGAGGGGCCAAGTTTGGGAGGCAGGACCCAGGTTGGAAGGCCACAGTRGTGAGGACCAGAGGGCACACTTGTACCAGGGCCCCACTGCCTGGGCTAATGTGGGGACACAGAATGAGGCCCTTGGGCTGCTGCCCAAGCTAGTGTGGCATGTGGCCAGGTAAAAATTCGTRCCCAGGGTGCTAGATCTCCCAAGGCTTCAAGACAAGACAGGAATTTGGATCTATAATATGAAATCTGCCAACTGGGAATCAACAAAACAAAAACAAGAAGAAACCATCAGKCCAAATCAAGCCTGCCACATGTTTGGTGACCTCCTGCCCCAGCAAAGGTGGCACTGAGGGCAGGCCCCAGTTGACTGCCACAGGCATCATCTCGCGGGATCTGCTTCTTCCTCTCTCCTGCTCTTGGAAACCGTCTCTGAGGCCCAGCTTCCCACACACCATTAGGAGAATGGCCTATGTAGTGTGCTGTGTGGTTCTGGATAAACCCCTTGCCCCTCTCTGGGCACATTCTGATGGCCTGYAAAAGGACCTGGTCTGTAGGGCTCCCACCAGTGTGAACAGTGTGTGACTAAGTCCCTCCGGCTTGAAGGAAGATGCGGTTATTATGGAAGTGAGTCTTCCTGGGACATGGGCTTCCGGGATTGGGTTGCCGTGTGCTTGGGCATTTTGTGTGTCTACAGCCACAATTGTGTGTGTGAGAATGTAGGTGTGTCATAATTTGGAGCTTCACACGGCACAGTGTAAATAYCATCATTTTAATAACCCGGTCTTGAACATGTCATCAGCTGGAAGCCTGTAGGAAGCCTTAATTAATTCTGCCCGTGACCTGGAGAGGGCAGGGTCTTCTCCCCCCACCCCCCCAAGCTCGCAGCGGGCAGGTGGCTTGACTGGATGTGTACACTCAAGTGTTGCATCCACGGGAGTGCGTGGGGCTGCTCACTCAGTGAGGGTCTGCTCTGTGCTTAGTCTGAGCCGCACGGAGAAGAAAAGGGTCTTTGCCTTTGATTTTCCTCCGGGAGGAAGGTGTAACTGAACCCCGCAGGCTACCTCCCTGGGCCCTTTGTCAACACCCCTCCACCCCTCGGCCTGCACCAGCCCCTGAATCAACAGAGCCTGTATTCTCCATAGCACTCAGCCTAGAGGTGCACCGAACCCCAACTATCTAACGTCTTCCTTTGTGGTGCCAGGCATAATCACGGGCCTTCGGAGCGGAGAGAGAACCTGGCAGGGCGGGAGGGGGCTTTGGGGATAGAAAACACCGCTCTTGTGCGCCCTCCTCTTTCCCGTCCCACTTTCTCCACCTGGACCTGGCGCTGGCTCGGGTGGCGGTGCCCGCTTGCGCACCCCGTGCCCCACACGCGAGGCTGCGTTCCTGTACGGTGCTCCTCCAGGGGCCGGGGACACTGCGTTTCCTGACTGCCCACCTCCTACCCCCCCCCAACTCCCCCAGACTGGGAGGGCGCGGGCCCTTTAAATCCTCCGGGGCGGCGACGGCGGGCCGGGGATGACATCAGCGGGCGGGCCCGGGGCTCAATGGGAGCCGACGGGCGCGCGCCGGGCGGGAGCGCGCGAGCCGGCGGCGGGGGCGGGCGGCCGGGAGGCGGCGGCGGCGGCGGCGGCGGCGGCGAGAGCCCAGAGCCTGAGCCGGCCGGGGCGAGCGGAGCGAGAGGAGCGCGGCGCGGCGCGGCGGCGGCGGCGGCGGCGGCTGGGCCGGGAGAGGCTGGCGCGCCGGGCGGCCCCGCGAATCCTCCGGCATCCGCCCCGGCGGGCCGCCCCCGCCCGCGGCAGCCCCCCGAGCAGCGGCCCGGCACCGGCGCCTTCCCGGAGGGGTAAATATGGGGGGTCCGCGGGCCCGCCGAGGGGCGCAAACCCGGGGGGAAACGGGGCTCCTCCGCCTCTTTGTTTTTGCCGGGAGCGGAGGGCGACACGCGCGCGCTCGCGCGGGGCTGGGGGGGCACTCCGGGCGCCGCCCGCTCGGCCCGCGAGGACAAAGGCGCGGCTGGGGACCGAGGAGGGGGACTGTTATTTTGCAGGCCTGAGGGGGGGGACCCCTCGGCCCCGCCCGCCTCCGCCTCCCCCTCCCCCAGCTGGACTCTCCAAGGCCCCGGCCGCCGAGGCGGCTTCAGGGCCGTGACTTGGGGACGCCGAGGGAGGGACTGGGGTGCAGAGGGCACCCGATGCTGTGGATTCGGGCTTCCCGGCCAACCCTGGGCTTCTGTCGGCTTCGCGGACCACCACGGCGCCCCCCTGCTCTCTGGCCGGGTGCCCCAGAGCCAGGGTCAGCAAGGCTGTTCCGCTTGTGGGAGGGGAGTCCTGGGGTGATGGGGTGCCTGGTCGCCCAGGCCGAGGGCTTTGTTTTCCTTTGTGGAGAAAGGAAGGGGGGTTATTTATCGGACGCGATTCTCCCATTTGTGGGTGAGAAATCCTGTTCTGCAGGTCTCTGGGAGCAAAACTGTGCCCCGACCTTAGAGAGAGGGATCCCAACTCGAAGCACCCAAACTCAGGGTGTGGGGACCCCCCTCCCCAACTTTGCCCTTAGTTTCTTTACATGTTTTCTTGTTGGCCTAACCTCTCARGCAGAAGGATTGGGGGCAAGAAGGGTGTCCTAAGATGCTTCCAGTACATGGCCCCAGTTTGGGTCTCCTTTGCCTGGGGGCTGGGATACCCCTTCAGTTTTTACCTTTATGGTCCAGTGACAAGGGTCCTGCCTCTAGGGAAGGAAGGAGGTGTCAGGAAGTAAAAAACCTGCCCACTAGGGAAGGAAGGAGGTGTCAGGAAGTAAAAAACCTGCCCACTGAAACTCCTGACTCCATGTCTGCCTGTTTTTTGTTTTTTTACTTTGTTTATCTCCCCCCATCCCTACCCCACCCTCATGGGAAAAGCAGCCAGAGAACAGGAAAGCTTCCCCCATTCTCGGATGAACCCTTTCCCTTCTCCTTTGGGGGATGCTGGGACACACAAGGCTCTTCCTAGGGCCCTGGGCCCCCAGYGCTGGGGAGACCCTGCTGTCTGGGTAGCTGGCACAGAGCAGTTGGGGGGTCCTGGAGGGCTGGTGGTTTGCACCCCTGTTCCCTTCTCTGCAGACAGCCCRGTGAGCCGAGGGGGGCTGTGGGGTTATGTGCAGTATATTTATGTAAGACACCCAGACAGAGGGCATGGGTATTTATATAACCCGGCATGGGTATTTATGTAATATAGGATGCGGGTATATTTATGTTTCTTTCCTAACCTGCGGCTCCCCGGCTGCCATGTGTGGTCTCTGAATCAGCGTTGGTGGAAACGGGCTGGGGGGGGGCTGTATGCGTACTCGCTGGCCCCCCAGCAGGGCTCATTGCTTGTGTGCTTTCCTCACTTCCCTTGGCGGGTACACACCGGGCAGCTGGACGGCGTGTGAATGTGGGGTGTGTGGCGTGTGGGTTTCCTGCAAGTGTGGAGTGTGCTGCTGGCAGCCGTGGTGCCTCAGCTGGGCCAGGCCAGGCATGTGGGCAGAGGCCCTGATGGAGAGTTTGGCTGCCACCGGGTGGAGGCTGTTTCCTGTGGCTGCCSATGGCTTGAGGCTTCTCCCTGGGAGCCGACCCTAGACTGGGATATTACTCTGAGGCAGGAGCTATTGGCTCCTCGCTCTGCYGGGTTCAGGGAAGTCTAGCCTGACTACCAAAGGAAGGAGTCTCTCCCAGCTCCCTTCCCAGGTCCCTGGCTTCTGGGGGCAGCCCTTGGCATGGGGAAGGGTCAGCACAGCTGCTTTCCCATCTTCCTGCTTTGCCTTCCRTCCCTGGCATGAAAGAAGCCCTGTGTGTGAGGGTCGGGGGCTGGGAGGGCCAGCAGGCCCCCTGTCAGCTCCTTGTTGGGACCCTGGCACTGTCTGCTGCTGGATGGCATGAGGGCTGTGGCTTGGTCTCTCTGGGCCTGAGTTCCTGTCTGCAAAAGGAGTCCCCTCTTGCTCACGCAGACTAACCCTCTTGTAAACACGCTGAGGTCTCTTGGACCCCCCTCCCTGTTTCCCAGTCTGCCATTCCCTGCCATTCTCACCAAAACTGCCTGTGAGTCTCCTCTTTTGCTGGCAGGAGCACAGGTGCCCAGACCTCTGCCCCAGACCAGTACAGAGATCCCTGCCAGGTGGCTTAGAGGTCCGTGTTGGTGGTGGGCTTGGGGTACCTAGGATGAATAGCAGAAGGAAGGGGAGCTTCTCAAATCAGGATGACTCTAGTCCCACAGGGACTGGACACTTAAACCTGGCTTGGGTTGCCCCAGCCCAGGGCCAGTTCCCAGGGAGAAGCCCTCCTAGTCTTGAAAAAAGTCAGCCTGACAGTCTTTCCAAACAGATGCAGGCAGAGGGCTGTGAAAGGCTCTTGGTGTCAGGAGTGGAGGGCGTGGAGGTTGGCAGGTCCTTGTCCTGCCTCTCCCCCAGTGTGGATCAGGCCCCCTCCCTCAAAACACACTGGGAACTGGCCAGGCTTGGGGGTGGGTTAGAYGTTGGGCTTAAAGGGGGCTGTTTTCTCTAGTGTCTTGTGCAGGACCTGCTGAGGCTGCTCCCAGATGTGTGGGTGTGGCTGCTGGGCTACCTGACACCTGGTTGCCCTTAAGCAAAGTGAGGTCAAATTGCTTCCTGGGCAGTGGGAGGGAGATGGTTGGTCTTCCAAGTCTCTTGTGGCTTTGCCTGGCCTTTGGTGGGGAGGGGTGGGTGAGGCCCCTTCCCAGCTCCCAGTTCTCTGACCCGAGTTCTGCTTCCCTCTGCAGCGAGAGTGAATCATGGAGCTACGTGTGGGAAACAAGTACCGCCTGGGCCGAAAGATCGGGAGTGGGTCCTTTGGAGACATCTACCTGGGTAAGTCTGCCTGGCCCAGTTGGAGCCCTGGGATGGTCCTGGGGATGATGAGGAGAAAAGATCCCAGGATTTCAGGATCTGAAGCCAGAACTGTGCTCCAGGGGCTGGTCTTGCCTCTAGGAGCATCCCAGGGGGAGAAGGAAGCCTCAGGTGGAGGGAGGCAGCCGGGGGTTCCTGGCTCTGTCTGGAACCCCGTCTGGCAGGGCGGGGCTCCCACTTGCTGTGCTGGGCAGAGGAGGATATTTTTAGCTGCAGTTTCCAGCTGCAGCTGACCTGGGTCTCCATCTGGGCCTGGGAAAGCCCAGGCTGGGTTGGCATCCCCGTGTCCTCTGTCCTGGAAGAAGGGTGCTGGTAGGGAGAAGGCCTAGGCTACCACCTGGCCCCAGCAAGGCTGTCCCTGTGGTTGGCCTTCTGGAATGCAGCCCACACAGGCTTTGGAATGACCCGGGGGTGGGGGGGTCCTCCTCCTCCAGGGAGTTCTCCCTCCGGATGTGCTTCCTGTTAAATCTGAGTTTGGTCAGTGTTGTCATTTTAAACAAATCATTGACATCTCAGCCCTCTCTGGCCTGGGAGAAGTGGTGCTTCTGCCATTGAGTGCTGCCTTCTCAACCTGCTGGGGGCACTGCTCCCAGGGTCGGGTTGCAGCCCTGCCTCTGAGTGTTGGTCTGAAGCTGGTCATTCCCTTGATGATGGGCTTGGGGTTATAGAGCAAGGTGGCAAGCTCCCCTGGGGTTTATCCTCCATCCTGTCCCTGTGCCCTGGCAAGCAGAACCAGGCCACATCTGCTTCTCTGCTTAGGAAATGAAAATTCTTTGGTTTTGTCCTGGGCAGGAAATGCCGACCCGTCAATGTGCCTGGGCACCAACTCAGACCTTGAGGGTTCCTCTTAACCAGCRGTCAGGGCCCTGTCCCCACAGAGGAGACCTGCTGCCCAGGGGGGCTGGGGCTCTCAGGTGTGGGGCGGGGCACACGAGGTCTATGAACACTTACCTGGATGCCCTTTCCAGCGTTACCTCCCTCATGGAGCCCCTCGAGATGCTGCTGGTGAAGATGAGGCGCAGCATAGTCAGGGTGACCACCCAAGGTTGCCCCAGGAAACTGGAGAAGGTGGCCTTTACACCACACGGTCCTGAGTGGGTGCCGAGGACAGGCGGCCCTGTGTTCTAGGCCGCACTCTGTGTGGCTGTCCTGTGATCTCAGGGTCCCCCCTGTGAAGTCAGCCCCCCAGCCAAATGCTGTTGGAGGTACAGATGAAGCGACCATGGGAAAGTGCCCTGTGGGCCATGGAGTGCTGGCCTGGTGGGCAGCTCCCTGCCCGGTGCTTGGCAGATCTGTGTCCCACCATGCTGGGGCTCAGAACAGGAAGCAGGCCTGTGTGGCTGCAGCTGGTTTAAGATCTTCTCCAGCTGGCGCAGTGGTGTGCAGTCCCRGTCCTCGGGAGGCCAGGGGGGAGCCACACTTGAGCCCAGGGATTCAAGGTTTTCCTGGGCAACCTAGTGAGACCCTGTCTCAAAACTTACTTAAATCAAGGTTTCGCTGCATCTCTGAGCTCCTGGRAGGCAAGCATAGGGTCGAGTTTGCCCACCCTCTCCTGGGCCTGGCGTGTGGCTTGCCCCAGTAGGTGTCCAGTGACTGTCAAGTGGACAAGTGCTAAAACAGGGACCAGGGTGTGCAAGAGCTTCATGGCAGGATTGGAAAAGCCTGGGATTTGGGGACTGCACCAGCTTTGGGTCCCAGTGTCTTCCTGGTCTGCTGTGTGATCTGGCATGAGATGCTTTCTCTGAGCTGCAGTCTTGTCTGTGTGGTGGAGGTCCCCACCACCTGTTTGGGAAGACGGACAGTGGGGGAAAGGACGTTCTCGCCGCTGAGCCTCGGGCTCGGGACTGCAGGGCGCAGACCTGGCCCTTGGCACAGCAGGCACCGCTCCTAGGCAGCACCCTCAGGCCCTCTTTCTGCAGACGGAAGTGGAGCCCCTGGAGGGAGGGGCCTCCCCAGATCACTGAGAAAAGCCACCRTCTCCCTGAAGGCAGGTCTTCCGGGCTCTCCACAGTCATCTCATTTATTGTAAAAACATCCAGATTCGCCCCTCTTCGGCCAGCTGTGGAGTCCGTTTGGCCTGGGTTTGGATACCCGTGTTTCCTTTTCTAGCTGTACACCCTGAGCGAGGGGTGACTTCTGCCATCCTTGACTTCTCCATTTATTTTAAAGTTGTGTGTAGATGACAGTTCTACGGCRGCAGTCAGTTTTCTTAACTTTCCTTTCTCTGTCTGCAGCCCTGGGTAGTGGACCAGGGGTGTCCTACCACCCAGCTACATCCCTCGCCCTTTTTAAAATTTTGAGACCGGGTCTCACTAAGTTGCCTCTCACTTGGAATCCTCCTGCCTTAGCCTCCAGAGTCCTGGGATGGCAGGCTGTGCCACTGCACCCAAYGGGCTTCTCAGGGTAGAGGTGGGGTTGTGAGGAGTTTGAGGACCTGGCGTGGAAAGCACCTGCTTGCTGAGCCCAGCAGGTTCCATACCGTGTCCCGCCCCTGGGCTGAGTTGGGAGTCATTGCTCTCCAAGGATCTGGGTCCTCTTGGCCTGGGGGTCAGGGAGCCAGTTTGCGCCACCATCCAGACTCCAGTGGTGCGAGGGTGTGGGGGCTCTGCCCTGAGGTGCCCTCCCATTGGCACCACCCTAGGCCGGTGTCCTGCTGGCCTGGAGACAGCAGGGATTGTGGGTCCCCTCGGCTGGCCTTGCTGGCTCTCTTTGTTCAGAGCTCTGGCCACTGTCTCATTACCAGAGCCAGGGCCAGGGCCCTACTCCAGATGGCCTCTGCAGGTGGGGCTGGACACGGCTTCCAAGCTGCTTTCCAGGATCAAACACTGATGGCCTCATTAGGGGTGCCACTGTGAGCCCCACAGCTGCTCTCCAGGCTCCCAGCCCTTGTTGCTGAGGGGTGGCCAGGAGAGTGCACCCACTTTGTTAAGGGGCTCAAGTTGGCCGCACAGGTCCAGAGGCGGCTTGCCCTGGGCCTGCCCACTGACCGTGCGTCTTGGGCAACTCTAGACTGCTTAGAAACGCTGCCCTAGCCTGGTGTGGTGGCATATGCCTGCAGTCCCCGTGACCTGAGAGACTGAGCAAGGAGGATCACAGGTTTGAAGCCAGCCTGGGCAGCATCGTGAGCCCCTGCCTCATAAATATTTTTAAAAGGACTGGAGGTGTCACTCAGTGTAGAGTGCCCTGGTTTCAGTCCCCAGTCCCCCTGCATGCACACACAAAAAGGAATCCCTGTCCTCAGCTCTTCAGGTGGTTCTGGGGGAGGTTGTCAGGGGGACACTCCAGCCTCTGACACCGGGTGCAAAGGTTGCTACTGCTGCTGTTGCTGGGCAGGTGGGTTCAACCCCTCCCTGCACCCACGGGTCCCTGATGGCGTCTGTTGTGAGCCCCATGTGAGGCTGGTTACTCCTGTCCTCACCAGGCCCTTCATGTGGCTGCTATATAACCAATGGGCCACATTCTGCACTTGAAATGGGGCCATTTCTCTGGCTTCCAAGCCTTTCCACCTAGGCCCTCTCCACCATTCCTAGACCACTCACCTCCCAAAGCAGCTTCTGCCAGGAAGCCGTGGCCATCTGCCTCCATGGGCCCCGCCCTGCGCGGTTCTCGCYGCCAGTTATGCTTTCCTGCAGCCGCCGAGGGTGAGCAGAGCTCCTGCACGGGCCTGGGCTCCTGGTCAGGGCTCAGTACCTGTCTGGAATTGGGTGAGCCGATGACAGGGAAGTGGAATGGAGAGAGAGAGCAGGGGCCTTGGGAGCGCTACTTCAAGCCCTGCTCTGCGCCAGCGGGTCCTGTCCCTCATGGGCCAGGCACTTTCCCTCTCTGCTGCTCAGCCTAGTGGCTGTGAGAAAGGAGGGCGATCTGGCAGCCTCAGTGGGATCTGAGGCGCCAGAGGGCTGGCAGTCGGGGAGAACACTGCGACAGAAGGTTTCCAGCACTCTGGGGGCCAGAGGCTTTGCCCAACAGCTTGAGTCCCTGTCCTTGGTAAGTTGTGTGGCATATGGTCACTCGACCTTTGGAGTTTGAGGTTTTCATTATGTCAGATAGAGATGTGAGCAGTAGCTCTGGCAGGATGGCGCCAGGGCTCGGGGGATGAAGTGCCCCTCCTGTGTGCCACCCCCCACACCCCGCCCACATGCAGCTGCTGCAGTCTCTGTGGCCAAGGCCTGCCTCGGGCATCATCCACATCTGCACCCTGCCTGGGCAAGGCCACCAGCAGCTCCTGCCTGGACAGCCGCAGTGGCCACCTCCTGGGTCTCCTGACCCCTCGGGTCCCCTCCAGCCCTTTCTGGTACACCAGTAAATCTTAATGGGTGCTGACTTTTGCCCCCCATGGGACATTTGGCAAGGTCTTGGAACACCGTTAGTTACTTCAGCTTGGGAGGAGGTGGGTAGAGGTCAGGCACTGCCAACACCCGACAAGGAGCTCCCACACCAGGGTTTCTCTAGCCTCAAGTGTCAGGATCAGGATCGGTGAGATCCCAAACCTCGTGCCTGGCTGGAGTCCTCAGGGAAGGCCACACTCTCATCTAGGCCTCTCGAGACCTTCAGATCCTGGCGCTGCCCTCCTTTTCCACTCTCCTTCAATGTCTGGGGTCCTGCTGTACCAAACCACTCAGAGTTGGCTGCATGCCCCCCGCTGGCCTGTGCCTGTCATGACCTCTGTGCCTGGCTCAGTCCTGCTCCTGTGCTGGGAGCTCTCGCGCTGCCCAGGGAGGAGCGYCTTTGCTCCCTAGGGCTGCCCTCGCCCCCTCCTTGGCAGCCTTCACATTGGTAGAGCTGTGCCTGTGCGTGCCAGAKCCCACTGCTGAGCCCTGTGCCTGGGGCAGCCCAGGAGCGTAGCAGGTGAGGCACCTGGGCACAGAGTGCGAGGTGACTCGCCCAGGCCTTGCCTAGGAGGTGGGGAGTCGAGACAGGGGTCAGCGGCTTGGCATGGAGAATACCTGCTGCATTCTGCTGCCTCGTGCACCTGTGGTGAGAAGGGGCAGGGCATCAGATCAAGGATGCCCTGGCCCCCCTCCCATGCCACGTCTTCACTGTACCCTGAGACCTGTGGACTCTACCAAGCAGTGAATGCCAGTGTGTCAGAAGCACTTTACAGTTTGCACTTGCTTTCTGCCATTGCTCATTGGGCTTAGTCACCTCTTCTTAATTTGTGTGGCTCAGAATTCAGAATATATATCTATAGAACTAACATCCAAACACTAAACTGTTAAGTCAAAGAATCAGATCATACAGCTCAGGAGGCTGAGGCAGGAGGATGGCAAGTTCAAAGCCAGCCTCAGCAATTTAATGAGGCCCTAAGCAACTTGATGAGACCCTGTCTCAAAATGAAATGCATAGCTGGGCTCAGTGGCGCATGCCTGTAATCCCAGCAGCTTGCTGAGATAGGAGGATCGGGAGTTCAAAGCCAGCCTCAGCAATGGCGAGGCCCTAAGCAACTCAATGAGATCCTGTCTCTAAATAAAATACAAAACAGGGCTGGGGATGTGGCTCAGCTTTGAGTGCCCCCGAGTTCAAACCCCAGTACCCCCMAAAAAGGCTGGGGWTATTGCTCAGTGGTTAAGTACACCTGGGTTMAACTCCCAGGACCCCCCAAAAAGAAGAAGAAGAAGGTCAACAAATGATCATATATGATTCTGTTTATGTGAAATGTCCAGAACAGGCAAATCCAGAGACAAAGTAGATTAGTGTGGCCAGGGACAGAGGCTGAGGAGGGTGGTACTCACTTCTAAGGGGTACCCATGTCTTGGGGGTGATGGAAACATTCTACCCTTGCTCGTACATCCTTGGGAATATACCAGAAACCCAGGAGTTGGCCAGTTGGAGGGGCGCGTTGTTACCCTGTGCGGTTACAGTTCCTGGTGGAAGAGTTGGATTTAACAAAGTATCCAGCGAGCGTCCTGGCCGCCTGGCTGCTTCCTCCTGTTTCTTTTCCGCGTTGCTCTGTGTGGAATCTACCAAAGGCAGATGCCGCTTCCCCAGCTTGCTCCGCAGCTGGAAGATGAGGACAGTGTGGTTCAGTCCTTGGCCCTTCGCTTCCTGCCTTGGAGATCTTCCTCTCCTGCACAGAGGGCCTCCTCATTCTCCCTCCATTGTGTTCTGGCCTGTGGATGGGCTATTCTTTCTCTAACCAGTTCCCCAGTGATGGACATTTGGGTCATTTCCAAGCGTTTGCTGCTGCAGACAGCCTTGTCCAGGCCTCGGCTTGCACAGTGCAGGGGTGTCGGTGCTGGCTGAACCCTCAGATGTGCAGGTGCTGCTGGACTGTCTCAGCCACCTGGGGAGGAGCCACCTGGGGAGGAGCCACCTGTCGAGCCTTGCCAGCAAACCTGCGCTATCTCACTGTGGACCTTTGGCGGTCCTAGCTGAGAAGTGGTCTTTGGGGGTCACTGTAGTTTGCATTTCTCTTACAGAGAAGTCGAGGCCTTTGCTGAGCGAGCCCTTCGTAGCTGGTCTTCCTCTGGGAAGGCGCTTCAGGGTCTTTGCCCTATTTCCTGCTTCTTTTTCCTACTGATTTGTAGGAGTCTGTTAGCTRTCAGCCTTTTGTCTGTGATAAGAATTGAGTAGTTTTTCTTTCTGCTTCATTTCTGGTGGGTTTGCTGTTGTTTTGGGCGGTGCTGGGGATTAAACCCCAGGCACTGTACCACRTCTGGCATCTTTGCCATACAGGGGGGTCTTTTTAAGCCTTGCCTAACCCTAAGGTTATATGGGACCTTTCCCTGGGAACTGTGCAGTTGAAAGAGGAGGCCATTCTTGTCCCTTTCAAGGCCCCTCAGTACCCCTGCCTGTCCTGTCATCTGCCTCCCCTCACAGAGATAACCACTAGTTGACATTTTAAATTATTCCCTTTCATTGAGGTTTTATCACATGTTTGTATCCTTAAACTATATCTTTACGGAGCTTTGAAATTGAGACAGATAGAACTGTACTTTCATCTGTCACTTGCTTTTACTCCCTCTTTTAAAAATTGAGGTGAAATCCACATAGCATAAGATCAGGCATTTTAAAGTGTACAGTTCAAGTCAGGCGAGATGGCACATGCCTGTAATCCCAGCAGCCGGGAGGCTGAGGCAGGAGGATTGCAAGTTTGAGGCCAGCTTTAGCAACTTAGACCCTGTCTCAAAATAAAAAAGGGTTGGGGATGTGGTTCAGTGGTAGAACACCCCCAGTTCAATCCCCAGTACCAAATAAATAAATGTGCAGTACAGTGGTTTACTAAAACTTTGTGCAGCCACCACCCCATCTAGTCTCAAAGCACGTCCCAGAAGAAATCCCCATGCCTGTTAAGCAGCCACTCCCCACCCTGGTGTCTACTMATCTGTTTTCATCTCTATGGATACGGACATTTCATATAATGAATATAATACAATAGAAGCACATTTTCTTTTGTGTACGGCTCCTTTGGCTGGGCAGAATGTTTTCTTTCAAGGTTCACCTGTGTTRAGGTATGTGTTACCAGTACTCCGCTCCTTTTCATGGCTGAATAATATTCCACATGTATATGGGCCACTCTCTGTCTTCATTCATCGGCTCTGGGCCAATGGGTCATTTCCACTGTTTGGCTGTTGTGGTGGCTGCTCTGGCCTGCTGTCTTTAGCCCARTGTTGAGGAGCCGGGAGTGGCCTGGTTGCCAGGTTAAAAGTATCTCCATCTCTGGGACTCCTTATGTGACCACATTGCTGTCAGCGACTCAGCTGCCAGGCATCAGGGCTGTTGGTTCCAGTGTCCATCCTTGTCCTTTCCCCAGGTGTCCCCTAGGGCTTGTGCTCAGGAGTGGGTGACTGCTTCCTCTCCTGGACGTGTGCAGAGTGGCTGTACTTTTTTCGTTCCCCTTCCTTGTGGACGCTTTCGCTGCACTTGGATCCCCTGGTTGGGGTGTCCGCCGTGGCCGGGGTGTTCCTTGACTGGTCCCGTGCTTCCCCTGGTGTGAGGTGCCCATGGGATCCTGCCCYGTGGGATGTTCTGTGTTTGTGCCCTGGCTTCCTGTTGGATGCGGTGTGACTCTGCTCTGTGTCTGGAGCTGGAAGCGCTGCTGGCCCCTGAGGGGAACTCGCTGCCCTGCAGGTGGCACCAGCCCTGCCGCTCAGCCTCCACTGCAGCTCAGCCTCCACCGCAGCTGGAGACACTGAGGCAAGGCTCTATCTGGATTTGGTCTTTCTGGTGGCTTCTTGAGCCCTGGGGCGGGCCCAGGCTGCGAGCTGGGCCTTGGTGTGTTTAGGGTGTTTCTTAGGCCACRCGCACCCCTCAAGGCTGCAGTAAGAAGGGGACACAGGGGTTGCAGGCAGGACCCTGTCTACACCTAGAGGCCGAAGCCAGCAGAGCTGGGGGTTGACCCCAGGGCTGTGGTGCCCCTGAGCTGCACCCCAGCCCCTTGTATATTTATTATTTCTTAAGTGTAGAGGCAGCGTCTTACTGAATGAGCCAGTCTGCTAAACCAAGAGTCTGCTARGCCCAGGCTGGTCTTGAACTTGCGATTCTCCTGCCTCAGCCTCCCAAGGGAATGCAGGCAGGTGCTACCACGCCCACTTAGGTTTCGCTCCCCAGTCCCCCAGTTGCCAGCCGTATGACCTTGAGTGGCTCTCAGCCTTCTCATCTGTGCGGGGGGAATGATACTCCGATGATAGAGGAGGGGACGTCCTGGGACAGAATGTGTGGGCTGCCTTTGAGGGGGGCAGCTTTGGTGGGCAGGCAGGTGCTGGTCAGTACCTTCTGCAGCTCAGGGTGTCGGGAGGGCACAGTGCCCATCCCTCTGGGCTTCTGGTCCCTCCACACACACCTCAGCCCGCCACACCCAACTGGCCRGCCTGTCTCTGGGGTTAAGTTCCACCCCTTCTGTGGTCTGGGCACCATTTGTGTGTCCCCTCCCCCATCAGGCCCTCTCGCAGCCCTGACCTCGGGTTCTCTGAGCAGCTGGGGGCGTCTTGCCTCCTCCCGTGGCGCATGGTACTGCTCACTCTCCCTCGGGAAGCCTCCTGGCCACCTCTCTGTCCCTGAGAGGCAGATGCCCAGTTGGCCCCACACCTGAGCCACAGCAGCCTCAAATGCCGGGTGGCAACCACCTGGCTGGCTGGGAGTCAGCTGGGCCTTTGCCCCCCACCCTGGGCAGGTGCCAACATCGCCTCTGGTGAAGAGGTGGCCATCAAGCTGGAGTGTGTGAAGACGAAGCACCCGCAGCTGCACATCGAGAGCAAGTTCTACAAGATGATGCAGGGAGGAGGTGAGGCGAGGGCTGCCGTGGGCCGGTGGCGCGGGTGGGGAGGGACCGCCCTGACAGCCCTGTCGCCCCGCCCCAGTGGGGATCCCGTCCATCAAGTGGTGCGGGGCAGAGGGCGACTACAACGTGATGGTCATGGAACTGCTGGGGCCCAGCCTGGAGGACCTCTTCAACTTCTGCTCCCGCAAGTTCAGCCTCAAGACGGTGTTGCTCCTGGCRGACCAGATGGTGAGTCCCGCTGCGCACCGTCAAGGTGGCCTGCCCAGCTGCCCTGCAGCGTCCACTTCCCCATCTTGCTAGTGGCCATGGATACTAACCCTGCATCCTGCCTCCAGAGGAAAGTAGGGGAGGGGGCAGGGACAGGGACAAGACAGACCTGTTTCCTGAGCCAGGAACCTTAACTGCTGTCCTCAGCGTCCTGGACATTTGTTTAAATGCAGATTCCAGGCGCCAGGCTGCCAGGTCAGGGTCTGGGGAGGGCCCTCGGCTCTGCCCTGTGGTGATCACGCAGGTTGTGTCCTGTCCCAGTGTGGGAACCCGAGGTGATTTGCTGAGTCCCTCTGAGCCTCCGTGACCTGCTCTCAGTCTCCCCTTCCCTGGGGTGCTAGGATTAAGTGGGAAGCCACACAGTGCCTAGGCCAGAGAAGGTGTAGATCCTTAGGCCCTTTCCATACAGAGGAGAGCTTTTTAAAAATATAAAATGCATAGCCAGCTACTCAGGAGGCAGAGGCAGGAGGATTGCAAGTCAAGACCAATGTGGGCAACTTAGCAAGCAAGACCCTGTCTCCAAAATATCGAAAAAGGCTGGGGGTGAAAGTCAGTGTAACRTGTGGTTTAGCATGTGTAAGCCCCCGAGTTCAGTCCCCAGTTCTGGGAAGAAAGACCATGCAGATCTTGCCTTGTCGCAAGCACACTCCAATTTTAGGCTGTGGGTGCGCAGAGGAGGATCGCGAGATTCTCACAGGGTGAAATTCAGTAAAGCTCCTGGAGATATTTTGTCATGCCGGAGGCCCAGAGCTGGGCATGACAAGCCAGAGGACCTGTCCTGTGCRTGGATCTTAATTTGAGTTTTCGGAAATTCTTAAAGGGCCAGATATGGGGGCACACACCTATAATCCCAGCAGCTCAGGGGGCTTGAGACAGGAGGATCACAAATTCAAGGCCATCCTCAGCAACTAGCAAGTCCCTAAGCAACTTAGTAAGACTCTGTCTCAAAATAAAAAATAGGGCTGGGGGCACTGGGGTTGTGGCTCAGGGGGAGAGCACTTGCCCAGCACGTACAAGGCACTGGGTTTGGTCCTCAGAACCGCATATAAACAAATGGATATAATAAAGGTCCATCAACATTAAAAAAAAAAAAAAAATAGGGCTGTGGGGATGTAGCTCAGCTGGTAGAGTGCTTATCTTGCATGCATAAGGCCCTGGGTTCAATCCCCAGCACCATCAAAAATAAAAAATAAAATAAAAAGGGCCAAGGGTGTGGCTCTGTGGTAAACTATCCCTGGGTTAAATTGTCAGTACCCCCACTCGCCCAAAAAAAAGTCACACCCTGACTCTGGTGTCCTTTGGAAGCCAAGTGGAGTCAGGACTTGGGTGCGCCATCTCACGCCTCTGCCGGTTTAGGCCTCCTCTGTGCTCCCAGCTGCCCCTCCCCCAGGTTGCTTGCCTCTGGGTCCCGTGGTACTGGAGCCAGCCGGCAGGCCACTGTGGTGGCCCACGGTCCTTCCCCCGCACCCTCCTTCCTGGGTCTCGCCCTTACCTTTCCTCCTGGCTCCCACTCCCTGCCGCGACCTCAGAGCTCATCCTGGTGGCACTGTCTCCCGGCCGCCTTCCCTGGCCTGCGCCTTGAAGCCATCCTTCATAGTTGGGGACAAACCTTTCTCCCTGGCCAGGGCAGGGACCCTGGGTGCATTTGACATCTTTGCTCTTCTGGGGCCTGGCCCGAGGCATGTGGCAGCGGCCCCTCCACTGATCCCCACCCCCCCACCCCGCTAACCCCCCAGATCAGCCGCATCGAGTACATCCACTCCAAGAACTTCATCCACCGCGACGTCAAGCCCGACAACTTCCTCATGGGCCTGGGGAAGAAGGGCAACTTGGTGTACATCATTGATTTTGGCCTGGCCAAGAAGTACCGGGATGCCCGCACCCACCAGCACATCCCCTAYCGGGAAAACAAGAACCTGACCGGCACGGCCCGCTACGCCTCCATCAACACGCACCTGGGCATCGGTGAGTGAGCTCCCGAGTGGCGCCTCCGGCCACCAGCTGCCTGGCTCCCCCCACCTCAGTCAGAGGCCCCCGGGTACTTTTTCTGGTTGGACCACTGAGCATCTCTCCCCGAGTCTGCCCTGAGGCCTGGACCCAGCGTCCACATCTTCCCTTCATAAGTAGAGTTGTGTGTGCTGGCCACCCCTTCATGCCCTGCCTTGGCCTCCTGGCAACCCCACTGAGTGGGGAGGGCCATGCTCCCCAACTGTTCCTCTGGGAAGCTCCGGCCAGTTTAACATGGGCTGCTCCAGGGCACAGGGCCTCATGAGTGCTGGGACTGGATTTGACCTCAGCCCGCCTCGTGCCACAGCTTGTGCTGCTTCTGTGGGGTGGGCAGGTGGCGGGTGCCCACTCAGAGTTGCTGAATGAAATAACCCCTGAGCTGAAAARCTGGACCCAGACTGAGGTGGGAAGGTGCTGCCTCGGGCCGTCTTGCAGAACGGGAGCCAGCGGGTGCTGGAGACGGCTGTCTGCTGCCAGATATGCAGTAAAGAATGTGACCTGAGGAGGAGCTCGGGGCCTGTGTGGACCCTGCCCCTCACCTTGCCTCTGACTCTGCAGAGCAAAGCCGTCGCGATGACCTGGAGAGTCTGGGCTACGTGCTCATGTACTTCAACCTGGGCTCCCTGCCCTGGCAGGGTCTCAAAGCAGCCACCAAGCGCCAGAAGTATGAGCGGATCAGCGAGAAGAAGATGTCAACGCCCATTGAGGTCCTCTGCAAAGGGTACCCCTGTGAGTACCAGGTGGGGAGGACGGGCGCAAGAGGACTACCCGGGGGCTCTGTGGCTGCACTGCATGTGGGAGGCCTGGAGCCCCAGCCTGATGTCGCAGACTGGGTGTCCCCTTCCACACTCGTGCCTTGCCATCTAGAGTCCTCTCCTGGCCCAAGTTGTTAGAGGAGGAAGTGGCTGTTTGCCTGCTGTTGCTTAGATCGTGTCGGGAGTGTGTCCACTACAGGGCCCTTGGCCGCCCTTTGAGCTCTGGCTGCTATGGGCCTGGGTCTCTGTGAGCCTGGAGTGCCGGGAGCAGGTGCAGAGCTGTGGGCCACATTCCCCGGAGCAGCTCCGAGAAGAGGCTGTGCTCCTGGGGCCGAGCACTAGTAGCATAGGGAGCCTGTGGTTCTGTTCTTCATCCTGCCCCCTCTTAGGTTGAAACTGTTCAGAGGGACAKTGGGTGGCTTGGGCAATGGTGGCTGCCGGGGACCTGGGAGCATGGGCCTCACAGTGACCTCCTCTGTTCCCTGTCACCCCCCAGCCGAGTTCTCCACATACCTCAACTTCTGCCGCTCCCTGCGGTTCGATGACAAGCCCGACTACTCCTACCTGCGCCAGCTCTTCCGCAACCTCTTCCACCGGCAGGGCTTTTCCTACGACTACGTCTTCGACTGGAACATGCTCAAATTCGTGAGTCACCCGGAGGCCAAGGCGGGCTTGGGGGACTGGATGGGGAAGGCCTTGCCTCATAAGGCCAGAATGGCCTGGTGGGGGGCAGGGCTCCCTACAGATGGGAGTTACGAGCTGGACAGCACAAGTGACCTCGCCAGGGTCCCAGAGCCACCCCTATCCAGCYACATCAGTGTGGACAGCATGCGCTRCCACAGTGGGCAGGGCGTGGGCAGGCTTAGGAGGACCTGGCTCAGCCTCCAGTCTATCCTGGGGGCCCGGGGCAGGGCGTGGACGGCTCTGCTGGGCCCTCCCGCTGCCCTCCTTGTGGCCTGCTCCATCTTGCTCCTCTTGTTCTGCACGTCCTGGGTGACCGCCTTCACTGAGGCCCCCCTAGCCAGCCTGGATCCATTCAGAGTGGCTTCTCTCTTCCTGGTCGTGGGACCCTGGGTCTTGCTAGGCGGTTGTTCTGTCTCCCTCTTTTAAGGGTCCTGGGGGTGGGGTGGGGAGAAGTGGTCGCCAGCCGTGCCTGGAGCTCTGGAGTCCGTGAAATCGTGTGTCTTGTTTCACATCTCTTCTGGAAAAGGGGGCTTCTCCGAGCCAGGCTCAGCCCCGGGACAGCGAAGCTATTGCAGCACCCCGCCCCCGGCCCTGGCCCTGTGCCGGGCCCCCGTATCCATCCACCTACTGGTAAGGACCTCCAAGGCCTGGCTCTTCCAAGAGTTGCCACTTGGCCAGCAAGCACCAAGGCTGGACTCAGCTGTGCCCTCTCTGTCCCTTCCAGGTGCCCGGCGATCCTGGGCACCCAAGGCCCCCCAGATAGGCCTGTGGAGGAGGTGGAGGAGGTGGAGGAGATGCCCCCTCAAAACTACTGGCCTGTGGTCTGGACTCCAGGGCCCCAGTTCTGATATCACCAGTGTGCCTGAGCCTGATAGGGCCAGGCATGAGGAAATGTCCCTTGGGATGGTGGGGGCACCCATTCCTGAGATGGCCCTGTGGTGGAGAGTATTGGAAAGGCCCTACTTGGGAATCCTCAGGAATGAACCAGCTGCCTGAGGCCAGGACGAGCCCGAAGAAAACTGTGGCCCTGCCTGGGGCCTGTTAGGCCCTGGACCAAGACCAGGCCCAGGCCCCGTGGGCGGCCTCTGTGTCGAAACTGAACTCATTAAATGCCTCCTGCCTTCGTCCTGGTTTGCTTCTTTTACATCGTGTCCCTCGGTGCTCCGCCAGATGCCAAGGGCCAAGGCCGGGTCCTTCTGAATGCTGAGGTTGGCATGTTGGTCCTGGGTTTCTCTTCTYCTTGGGTCCCAGGCAGAACAGGCAGAAGATGGCCATCTCGCAGGTCAGGGCTTTGAGGAGAAGGCTGTACTGCCCTCCTCTGTGAGGGCAGAGAGGGAGGTGGGCATTGGGTTCCTTCCAGCTTAGAGCATGACTGAGTGCCTGGGTACCCAGCACCCCTTCCTCCTGCAGTGCGTTTCAGGGCCTCGGACACCAGGCCCTTGCCCTATGGGAAGTCGTCCCTGAGTCTGGTTCTGTGATGGACTTAGTTCTTTGGCTCAGCCCAGCTCTAAGAAAGGGCTTTGCATTCTCTTGGACTGTGACGTCCACTTCCGTAACTGCTGSCTACATGGAGAGTTCAATTAGAGTTAATCAAAATGGAAAATGCAGTTCCTCGGTCACATTCGCCACATTCCAAGCTCTTGGGAGCCACGAGGTAGTGGCTGCTGCATCCAATGAGACAGATGTGAGCATCTCTGTCGTCCTGGGAAGTTCTGTGGACAACGCTGTTCTAGATGGCTCCTTGACAGTTCCCCTTGTGGGACTGACCAGCAACAAGATGTCTTCTCCAGCTGGGCCAGGCACTCCTCCCCCTTGCTGGCACTCTGACTCCATTCCTGGGGTCCCCTTTGAGTCAGGTTCTGGAGTCTGAAGCTAGGCAGGGCCACTGATAGTCTCATCCGTCACCGACGTCTGCACCATCACCTCCGCGTGAGCCCCAGGCGGGAGCAGCCACATGATGTGCAGTGGGGACCATCCACAGCCTTCCCCCAAGACCAAGACCCCCACACATACCTTGCAGGAAGCCATACCAGCTGGCAGGACTCCATGCTGGGCACCATGGGCAGTGACTCTCCCATGATCTTGACCTTGACCTTGGAGGAGCCTCTCTGTGTTCCTCGGCATGAGGGCATTGGAATTCCTGGACACCTGAACCCTGGGATGCAGTCAGCACGTGTTCTCAGGACAAGCCACTGACAGGAGGAAGTTTCACAGCCCAGGACAGACGTCCACGCAGCAGGGGCAGATGCTCGGATGTTGACAGTTTTATGTTTTCTTATGGGCAAATAAAGGCCAGAAAAGCTCCTTGGTGCACATTTCTTAAGGGGTTGTTTGGGTTGGATAGCAGCCGGGGCATAAGTAGTTCTCTTCCTCCTGCGCGTGGACTGCTGGTGGCCTGAGCTGTGGGGCTGCCGCAGGTGGGTTCCATCTACTCAGCTGCTGGCTCCAGGGCTGGGCGGGCACCCAAGCACATCATTCAGCCTCCCTGAGCCTGGTTCCCTGTCATAGGAGTCGAGCCGTGCTGCGGCTCTGGTTTCTCGGGCTGGGCTGTGGCTCCTGCCCAGTGCCAGCCTGGGGCTGAGTGGGTGGAGCCTTGGTGGGCCTAGGCCTGCGTGGTGGGCTTTTGGTGGGAGGAGTGAGGGGTGTTTTGCTGGGTCAGGCCTTGAATAGTCCTCTTGAGGTGCATGGTAGGACTGGGTCCCCAGCTCTGTTCTGGCTGTGTGACCCCAGACAGGTCGTGAGGCTTTGTGGCCAGGTCAGACAAGGATAAGGCCCGGGGCACCTCTGCCCAGCAGTGGGGCTAGGACTAGCCTGGCTTGGCTCCTTGCTAGGACTCGAGATCATTCTGATCCCAGCTGCTTCCAGAGGTGCCCAAAGGCAGGTCTGCTCCACTTCCCCAGGGCACAGGGCCCCTCAGCTAATTCCCCAGCCAGTGTGAGGTCCCCTGCTCAGCCCGCAGCTCTCTCCTCCACAGATGCGGCCCCCCTCACGCCAGCCCCCTGCCCTTCCCTGTGGACGGCCCCGGGACCAACTAGGTAACACGGCCAGGCCCTGCTCCCGCACCACTTCCTCTCTGGACCTTTCACTTCCTCCTGTGGGGGTAGCAGTGGCTAGAGGGCAGGGCCCCGAGGGGCACCGGGCACCCTTCTCCAGCCTTGTCTGTCRCAGGGCAGCTAGCCCGGCTGCTTCCCTGCTCCCCTGAGCTCCCATCCTGCAGCAGGCAGTTCAAGGCTGGGCACCAGGTCCCCTGGCCAAGTCCTGGCCCTGCCTTCCCCGAGCCTTGCGACTCCTGTCCTCTTGACGTTCCCTGCCTTCTGCTAGGTGGGCCTCTGAACTCCTTCCCTGCATGGTTTGGAAAGCCTGAGGGGCCAACGGCTCTTGGTACATGGAGGGGGCCAGGTTGGGAGACCAAGGGTTGCCCTTGGTCACTGTGGAGTGTTAGCCACTCCTCTGGGCTCCAGTGCAGCCTGAGCTCCCCTGCTTCTCGGTGCTGTCTGTCCTTCCTCTGAGTGTTGCGTGGCTATTTCTCCTCTCTGTGACCCAGGGTCATTTCCAAGCCTCTGAGATCAAGGATTCCCACTCTGGGAAGGAGGCTGGGCCAGAGGGTTTGTGAGATGCCCCCAGCTCGCTTCCCCTCTGTCCTGCAAAGGTGCTGGGCACAGAGCACCCAGGTCTCGGGGCTGACCAGCATGCCATCTCCCGTCCCTGCAGGGTGCAGCCCGGAACCCCGAGGATGTGGACCGAGAGCGGAGAGAGCACGAACGCGAGGAGAGGATGGGGCAGCTGCGGGGGTCCACAACCCGGGCCCTTCCCCCTGGCCCACCCACGGGGGCCACTGCCAACCGGCTCCGCAGTGCTGCCGAGCCTGTGGCCTCCACCCCTGCCTCCCGCATCCAGCAAGCTGGTTAGTAGGGGCCTGGGGCTGTGAGCTTYGGGATGGGCCAGAGGGCTGGGGTCCTGCTTCTGTCCCCAGCTGAGGGCTGCTCCCTCCTCGTCCTCCAGGCAATACTTCTCCCAGAGCGATCTCACGGGTGGACCGGGAGAGGAAGGTGAGCATGCGGCTGCACAGGGGCGCGCCCGCCAAYGTCTCGTCCTCAGACCTCACTGGGCGACAGGAGGTCTCCCGGATTTCAGCCTCACAGGTTAGCAAGCGGCCACGGCAGAGCCAGAGATCCCCGTGCAGGTCAGGCCTCTGGCTCTGCTCTCTTCTCCCCTTGACTTGCGTAACCCCAGAGCAAACCCCTGGCCTGGGCTAGGACTTGACCTCTTTACTTCCCTGAGGCTCATTAGCCCCCCTCACTGAGCAAAGCCAGAGACTGAGGCTCAGAACAATGTGCCCCAGCAAGTGGCAGTTCTGGGGTCTGACCCTCGCTGCTGGGTGCCCATCTTGGTGGGCATCAGGGCCTCAAAGACAAGGTGGTCACAGCCCCTGCCATCAGGAAGCCCCCAGTGGTCCTTACTAGCTTTGGCAAAAGCATGGGATAGAGGGACAGGTGAGCTTCTATCTGGTGGCTTCTCTTTTTGGTGCTGGGGATCGAACCCACGGCCTTGTGCATGCAAGGCAAGCACTCCACCAACTGAGCTCTAGCCCCAGCCCCTGGTAGTTTCTCTTAAGGTCATATTTGGACTAGGAGAGGTCGGAGGGAGGGACTGTGTCCAGCTGGAGGGGAGTGGGAGCCTTAGTGGACTTGGCCCTGAGAGTGAACCCCTCCTTGGCCCACCGACTTGGGTGTGGCCTAAAGCAGTCACATTGTGTGCCTCTGTGCCCTGCCCCCCCCCAACTCTGTCTACAAACGAGGACCTCCTAGGGTCTTCGGGATCACCCCTTCCCTTGATTCCAGGGGCTTACCAGGGGTGGGGCTGAGCTGCACAGCAGGGAGACTTAGGTCCTGGCCTTGAAGCTCACCCACCTCTCTCTGCTCCTACCCCACCCCCTGCGAAGACAAGCGTGCCATTTGACCACCTCGGGAAGTGAGGAGAGCCATCGCTGGACCAGTGTTTGCTTAGGTGAGTGGGACCTGCCACAAGCCAGCCAGCACAGCCAGGCCCGGAAGCACATGGCTCTGGGGTGCGGGGGGACGGCAGATGGCACCTGCTAGCCCCAAGAAAACAAGGGTCCTCGAGGGAGCGTAAACGTCCAGTCCTGCAGGTTCCCAGCGGGACTGGGGGTTGACTTCTTCTGGGAAATCAGCCCTCCACCCCCGTCCTTGACACTTTCTGGAACCTTGGTTCACGCTGACCTTCCACAGGGCTTTGGCCTGCCCTGGCCTCCAGGCTGTGAAACAGGTTAGCTCATGAGAAGGACTAGAACAGGTGAGCAGAGGAGAGGCCGCTGGCCAGTGTGCACCGAGGTGGGACTGCTGCTGCTGCCTGGCAGGAAGCCGGGTGGTGACTGGGCCTGGCCTAGTGAGGGTGGTCCTCCAGGGAGGGTGGAGAGCTGAGCTCCCTGGGGACAGTGAGTGGCCCGTGTGCAGAGGTTCACCAGTTGAGGGACGTGACCTCTACCAGAACACCCTGAACATGGTTCGCTCAGCAGCAATTGGCCCACAGATGGAGCTGGGGCGTGGGACTGGGCTCCCTGCCTCAGACGCCCAGCTTAGCCCACGAGCCTGTCTGTGCACAGCTGGGCAGACAGGTCCCGGGAAGTATGTCCAGGACAGAGGACAGAGCCTGCTCCCTTCCCAGGGAAATGGAGTACCTACTGTGTGCTGGACTTGCGCCAGCTCTGGGCCCTAAGAGGGGTGGCCTCAGGGACAAGAAATTAGGGTGAAGGGGTCCAGCAGGTGGGGGAACAGAGGCAGCGGGGCGCCTCATGCGTCTTTTTTCTTCCCCTCTAGTGTCTTCACTGTATTTTCTTTAAAAAAACAAAATCAAAAAAACACAAAACAAAAAGATGGAAAGAAAACCACTCAAATGAACAAAAAGAAAAAACCCAGCACAAAACCGACGATGGATCTTGTTTCTTTGATTTATTTTGCCAACGGCAAAAAGATGGATGCCCTTAGCACTGAGGACCGTGTCCCCTTGCACTGCCCRCTGTCCCCAGCCTTCAGGCTGCCAAATGCTCCCCAACAACACCGGCTCACACCAGCCAGATGCCAAGGCCCCACTTCAGCCACCTGTTCCTGCCACCACCATCCGCCTGCCGGAGGGCGCCCCTCGGTGTGGGAGAGCAGCCAGCAGGGACGCGGGAGCCCACAGCAGCAGCGGTCGGCCAGTCGAAGGCGGGTTCCACCGGGCTCCCTGAGCCTTGGAACCAAGGAGATGCGCACAGCCCCTGTCCCTCTGAGATGACAGTGGCCAACTTTCTGTGCTGGACTTTCCAGCGTCCCCCTGAGCTTTTGGGTCCTTCCTTTGTCTCTCCATGAAGCCTTGAGTGAGGTGGTGGCCACTGTTGCCTTGTGTGTATGTGTGTGTGCGCGTATTTGACCTGTGTCCCAGAGCAGCGATGCCCTGTCCCCACCTGCCAGGCTGAGTTTGTTATCCCCGTGGAAGGGATGTGGGGGTGGACAGTGGCCTCCACATYCCTCAGGGCACAGCGGGTCCTTGCCACCACCAGTCCCCAAATGCCAGCCTGTGGCGGTCCCATCTTCCATTCCTGCCTGGTCTGGGGCAGAGACTGTGGAGACTACTCCCAGCCAGCACCTGCTCTGGGTTATCAACTACTTCTCTGGTCCTGACAGTCACCTGGGGTCCCCCTCCCCTGGGCCCTGCCTTCTGGGGAGGAGCCTGGGGTCAGGGCTAAGTGTTGGATTTTCCATCCTTCCTAGTTAACACCTGTTTTTGTTTTTTATTTTATTTTTGTTTGTTTTCTCCGTGTGTGTATTTCCTAATTTATTTACCTCTGTTTCCCCTTTTTCCTTTTTTTTTTTTTAATTAAAGAGCAAAGGTTTTTATTACTTTGTAATTTAAAAAATTGAAAAAAATACTGAAGAACTTTGGGGGGAATTTTGTACTTTTTTCCTGTGTAAATATCGGACTTTTTTGAGCTTTATTGTGGTTGTTAATTTGAAGTAATAAAGTAGAAGAGGATAACGTGGTGCGGCGGCCTTCCGTCTGCGTGTCTGCCCTGCGTCATCTTCTTCCCAGCAGCCTGGGAGGCCTGCTGTGTGGGGCTGGGGACAAGACCTCACTTCGTGGGGCTTCTTAAAGCACAGCCTTTGATCCAGGGGTCCTGGGGCGGGCTGTGAGCATGCGCCCTGCCTCCGCCAGGGATGCCCAGGCCCRGGGCCATGCTCAGCAAAGCAGTCCCCTGAAGCTCCTCACCACCTTGTCCACATAGTTCTGGGACCTCTCAACAGCCCTGCCTTATGCCAAGACAGTCCAGGGCAGCATGGCCTGCCCAGGGTTGAGCTCTCGGGTGGCAGAGCAGGGTTTGAACCCTGGCCACCTTGCCCCAAAACAAGGGTCCTCAAGGGAGCAGAGGACACACAGCTCTGTGGGAAATAGTACTGGAGTTGGGTTCCAGGGTGGTTCCCCAGGTCAGTGTAGTCTTGAAGGACAGCCTTGAACCTGGTGGGCCTTTGTCTCAGGAGCATGTCAAAGAATGTCCATCAAAGTGGGTTTATCCGACACAGTTTACTTTTTTTTTTTTTTGGTACTGGGGATTGAGCCCAGCAGTCTGTACTAATAAACTACATTCCCAGTCTTTTTTATGTTTTATTTGAGACAGGATCTCCCTAAGTTGCTGAGGCTGGCTTTAAACTTTGATCCTCCTGCCTCAGCCTCCTGACTCACTGGGATTACAGGTGTGTAACGCGGTTTACTTTTSGTTAACCCAGAAGCACTCTTTGAACCCAGAGATAGCAAAGCCATCGTTGCTGAGAGGCCAGCCCTGTGGGGTGGGCTCTGGGAGGCATTCTTTGGGCATAGTTTCAAACTCCTTCCAGTGCTGGAATTTGAAGACCTGGTGACCTCAGCCTGGCTCATGAGCCTGGAACTCATACCCCCATGTGCAAGGTGGAAGCAAAGGTGGGTTCTTTTGTTTTTTCAAGTTGTAGATGGACACAATGCTTTTACTTTATTTATTTTTAAGTGGTGCTAAGGATCGAACCCAGTGCCTCACAGGTACCAGGTGAGTGCTCTCCCACTGAGCCCCAGTCCCAGCCCATGGATTCCTATTCACAGACATCAGGTCTGTCAGGGGGTGTCACCCAAAGCCAAGAAATGCCAGTGGGCCCTGGAACTACAGTGGTGAGCAAGACCTTCCTGGGCTGGGTAAAGATGGGGCGCCATGGTCAACTGGTCGACCTAGGATGTGCCTTCCACTCACACACACTTGGCCCAATGAGGCCCTGGGGAACCCCACAGAAACCCCCCCCCCAACCCCGCCTGTCCCTTCCCTGCTTGGAGACCTTCTGGGCTGGATGCCTGACCACACAGTGGAAAGTTACCAACTGTGGCCCTGAGGGAGAAATCTGAGGAGCTTATCTCTTCTCTTAATCTTATTTCTTTTACAGTGAAAATTGTAATAACACTAATGTGTTTACTTGTTTGCTGTATTCTACAATACATTTGAAAATAACAATTTTAATATTACTGCCAAAAATAAACCTGTGGAGGAAAGCATTTAAAAATATTTTTTTCTTGTCCTTAAAAACATTACAGTGCTCAGAAAGAACTTGAAATATTCTCTGGTTATTTTATCAGTTTTAATAAGGAGTTAATGCATTCCCACACACTCACCCCAGTTTGGTTTGTTTTTTTGGATGTGGGATGTTTACAGATACAAAAGTCACGCCATACAAAGCCATAATCAGAATCATTCCCGAGGAGGGCTCTTCCCCTTCATTCTCGCTAGTTTCCGGTTTGTCCTTCCTGTGTTGCTTCTTCAGGGAGTGCACTGTGTGGGAGGGGACAGCAGTTGACATTAAGGAAATGACTTGAAGCTGAGGCCAGAGGAGTGACCATCAGGCATCACCCAGTCAGAGTTTATTACTTAACGCCAAACATTCACCAGGATATTTTGGTCTGACCAGAGAGGGCAAGCATGCCACCCGTGACTCATCTTCCATTCATGCAGCTAACACGCACCTGACTGGGCTTGTGTGGGTGCCAGGGCTATTTGAGAGGTGCTAGGCTGAGGTGGGGCAGGGGTGGGGAGCACAGGGTTGGATTCCAGAGGGCCAGTTGGATACCTTGGGTACCAGGTCTCAGTTTTCTTTTCTGCAAGCGAGCGGATGATGTGTGCTTCCGAGGGTCCTCAGAGTACAGAAGACCATGATGGGCACAGGGCTAGATTCACAAGGGCTCACGTGGGCCAGCCGTTTCCAGCCCATTGCTCATGACAATCCAGTGAGGCGAATGGAGTGTGATCCCCATTTTGTAGATGACAGAGAAAGGCATGGAAGAGACTGGAGTCTACCACCCATGCTCTTGACCTTCACTGCTCAGGTAACTCACGAGTCTAGTATTTATACATCTCAAACCTGAAGAGTGAGTCTTGGCTTCCAGAGGCCCACAGCCTCGTCAGGGGAAGGAGTCAGGCTACAAGTGGCTCATCTAAATCCAGAATCCACCGTGTAATGTCCAGGGGTCAACATAAAGACAAAGGAAGATAAGGTACCTGGTGTAGAGGAAGGTGTTTCAGATACTTGACCTTGAAGTAAAGGTGAGTGGGAGTTTGCTGGGGGCTGGACAGGTGGAGAAAGTCATTCCTAGATTGTGCAAAGGCCCAGGAGTTGGATCAACTCCCTTGCAAGGAGTTGCAAGTCCAGGGGGTTGGGGAGGCACTTCGGAGCAGCTGAGACTGGAGGAGGCAGATGCCAGATTGTGCAGAAGTGGGTATAAATCCAGCGCTCCCTTGCCCTACCTGCAAGGTGCTCATCCTTCTTCAGCTCCGCTTTCCTCATCTGCAAAATGGGAACAATCAGCTCTAGAGATGCTGCTGTTCACCACAGCCCACACCACTTCACCACCCGACTCATCAGCAGCACCTGCAAGATGGGGAGAGGACACAGGATGCTAACCTAGGAATGTCAATCTGGCCACAGTGGGCAGGCAGGCTGAAGGAAGGAGAAAAGGGCAGGGAGAAGGGTTAGGGGGCTATGGTCACCACCACAGYGGGAGGTGTCCAGAGGACAAGGATGATCGAACTAGTAGCAGCCTGGGAGAGGGATGGTCCRGAGGCTCTGGGGCTGCCTGCCCGGAGGCCTGGGATCAGGGACAGAAAGCTGAATGGGATCTGGCACWGTGGCACACACCTGTAATCTCAGCGACTAGGGAGGCTAAGACAGGAGGATCRAAAGTTCAAGGCCAGTCTGGGCAATTTAGGGAGACCCTATCTCAAAATAAAAAATAAAAGGACTAGAGATGTAGCTCAGCAGTAGGTAAGACAGAAAAAGCAAGCAAATGAGGACATGGATGGGGGAGGGGTGSATTTTCAGTCCCAAACCTAGGAGAGGCCACCAGGGAGGCAGATGCTCAGCTGGGAGGGGTAGATCATCCAGGGAGCAAGGTGGGGCCCAGGGGAGGCTCAATGTAACCCAGCCTTAAAAAGGGTGAGGCTGGCAAAACAGATCTCAGCTGATCAATTCCCCCAGGTCCTTAAAAAAAATTGAATTATAATGTATGTCTAAAGTGTGCACATTCTAGCTGGGAGGGCTGTGTGGCAGTCGTTTCCTCTTGCTGGCCGATTCCCACCGGTAGGGGTGGAAGTGGGTCCTGGGTACAGTTAACAAACAGGAGGCTGGGGTGCACTCCTGTAATCCCAKCGGCTCAGGAGGCTGAGGCAGGAGGATCGAAAGTTCAAAGCCAGCCTCAGCAATGGTGAGAAGCTAAGCAATTCAGTGAGACCCTGTCTCTAAATAAAATACAAAATAGGGCTGGGGATGTGGCTCAGTGGTTGAGTTTCCCTGAATTCAATCCCCTGTACACCGCCCCCCCACAAAAAATGTGCACATCCTGCGTTCAGCTCAGTTGCTTTTACCCATTCCTGTCCAGCTGTGTCATCACCCACTGGATGAAGATGTAGGTGGCTGTGGATACTCCAGCAAGTCCCCTCCTGCTTCTTCCCAGTTTTCTCCTCTACACCCAGTACCCCTGCCCCACTCCATGCCCACACGGACCACCGCTCTGTGTTCTCTGTAGGTTTTGTGCAGAGAAGAGTCAGAACAGGAGGAGAGGAGGGGAGGAGGGGCCTGACCCCAAGGGAGACAGGAAGTGGGGCCTGAGCCCAGCTCTCCGGATGGACGTAGCAGGTGCGGTGAGAGTCAAAGGCCAGAACCCTGAGGGCGGACCCTTCCCTGTACTTTTCTTCTCTGCAAAAATACAAGCCCCTCACGTCACTGGCCAGCTCCTTCCCAGGACTACAACCACTTGCCCCTTCTCCTCCTCCTCCCTCTGGCTGCCTCTTCTTTCACCCTAGCCTGGAGGCACCACCATCCTCCTCTGTCCCTCGAGGCCGTGTCTGGTAACCTATTGGGATTCAGGGAGTGCACCCCCAGGGCTTAGCCTTCCCGGGCTGATGGGATGGGAAGCGCCCAGGCAGCTGYTGGGGTGAGCAGAGCAGAAGGCTCGGCCTTGGGCTGTAGGGAAGAGCACTGCCCCTTTAAGGAGGCCTCCCTGGAGCCCCCCATCATGGATGCGGGCAGACAGCAGCCTGGCTCCTCCTAGACTCTTGGAGAATCTTCTCAGGTAATTATACCTCCTCAGGCTTTCATCCCGGCACCTTCAAAGCACCTGCAATTAAGGTGCACCCCACCCTCCCTTTGAAGCACTGCATCCAGGTTCACCCAGGGCAGGCAGGAGGCCTAACCRTCCCTGCAGTCCTAGGCCCGGGACACCCTGCTCTCTGGCTCCCCGTCCTCCATGAGATCCTCCAGGACCAGACCCCCACGTCCCCGGACGCCCCTGACCCTCAGGGTACCTGCCTTGCCTGACAACAGCGGTCCTGGATACTTGGCAGCAACGAGGGATTTTGTAAAGAACCTAAAACCTGTTCCAGTGACGCCAAGGACACTGGCCGTAAATCCTCCTCTGTGGCCTGCTTTTGTCTGTTTTGGCAAAGCAAATTTAAAAAGGGACCCACCTACCTGCGTT